TCGCACAGTTCATTGCGGCTACAACAGAAGAGCCAAGCGACATTCGGAACTTTTTTTCTGGTGATGCCTCCGCATCCTGAGAACATCTTCACCAATAGATAATGCATGGTGCATTAGGACCAGAAGAAAGAGCATATGTGAGGTTGATTGGGAGAAATATCGAAGAAAATTACGAAAGCAGGAAGACAGAAAATTAACGACTTGCCTCGCTTCGACGTCTCGGAGCACTGCTTGGCAGCGGAGATGAGAGCATCTGAGGCTTACCTCGTTCTTCTAAAAGGAATCGCTAGGGTTCCGATATATTACGAAATTACGAAAATGTCCTTTGTGTGCTAGTCATAGCCAATGTCATTGGTACGTGAAACAACTTGTAATTTCTTATCTAACTAAAAAAAATAACTTTTTCATGTAAAAACGAAAGGTTCATTTATATTTTTCAGTCATTTAAGTACTATTTTTTCATTCTCATATAGCAACTTTTACAATATAAAATATGTTTGAGAGCTGGTGAAATACCTTCACTTTTGTCTTTGATGAGGGCAATCGCTGCGTTACTTATTCTCTCTCTCGCACCCTTTTTTGCTTCATCGGTCCCTACACTCTGTGCCTTGGACATTGTCTACAGGACAAATTTGGATTCATCATTGGTGCAGGGAGCCTAGACCGTGTCTTGAGCAAGAAAATTAGCAACAGCGAGAAAAAAAATTTATTTAGAGAAAATAAGTGGATTCGGCACAGTAGCGCATCCACTCTCAAGGAAATTTCATCCATCTCTTCGTAGACCTATGCATGTTCTCGACTTCCAAACCTAGATATCTTATATGATCATCACTCCTCCCAGTAGCGTTAAAACCAGCCTTTGCATTCAATCACCCTTTTATGCTATTTCCAGCGATGGAGACTAAATGATAGTGAATTGTCGGCTTGTCTTTTCTACTTACAAATACTTTCTAAAAAGGAGCTCTCCTTGCCCATGCTATTGCCTCGTGGGGTAATCTCCTCTGTGAGGAAGACACCAGCGAGCTCTACGAGCCACCTATGGGACCTCCAACCACCAGCGCAGCCTTTGAGTTTCTGGATTACTCAAATGAGTCGATTGCTTTGTTCATGGAAGGGGGAGGAGGAGTGCTCGCTAAGAATGGATTATCTAGTCCGGCTTCAATCAAGATTGATTGATTGATTCTATTGCCCAAAAGGTTGTTGTGGCTTGGATTCTTTAGCGAGGGCACTAAATTCATCTTTGAGCCTCAAAATATCTGTAAGATGGAACCCCTTATTCTTAATGTACTGAATGGAGGCTTCGACAAGCTGTTAAATGATGGTGTAGACTTACTAAGCAAACCACCCTCCAACCAACCGCTACTCCGGCCACCTCTAACCATTCACCTACTTCTGGCTGGTCACTTGCTTCTAGCTAGTTATATGTCTTCGGCCGACGATCTCAAAATCAGGGAAGATTTACATACATGCCAAATTATTATTATTATTATTATTATTATTATTATTATTATTATTATTATTATTATTATTATTATTATTAATATATATATATATATATATATATATATTATTTATTTATTTATTTATTTACATAAATATCACTCAATTCGTTTTCCAGCAAGCCACCCTTTAGCCGACTGCTGCCATGGCCGCCTTCGTCCAACCACCTGCTTCCGCCCAATTTCCTGTCTTTGGCCGATTGTATGACTCTGGTCGGTCATCTCAAAATCAAGGAAGATTTACATACAAACCACTCATTTTGTTTGTACTTTCAACAAGCATCTCTCCACATGATCGTTGCTTTGATCGCCTCCAGCTGACCAACTGTCTTTGATCAATCACTTGCCTCTAGCTAACTGTAGACAGACCATCTTAAAATCAAGAAAGATTTACGTACATACCACTATATTTATATGTATTTACCACTCTGTTTGTTTGTGCTTCCACCAAGCCACCCTCTTGTCAATCGCTGCTCCAGCTGCCTTTGAGCGACCACTTGCTTCTAAATGATCACCTACATCCAGGGGATCATCTTAAACTCATGAAAGATTCACACATATACCACTCTATTCTTATATTCATATTTTTATATAAATACCACTCAATTCATCTTCAAGCAAGCCACTCTTCGGTCGATAGCTACCTCTGCCCAACCACTAATCCAGTAGTCTCTGGCTGACTCCCACTTTCAAGTGATCAACTGCCTCAGGCTGGCTATATGCCTATGACCGATCGTCAGCAATAAGGACAACCAAAATGCTCAAGCGATCGAAATATTCAGGCGTCCCAAAATCAATAACTCCTTTATGGGCCGAGCAAATCAAAGACTCCCATCGGAGGAGAACAAATCAAAGACTCCCCTCCGAGACGAGCAAATCCATGTCACTAATCTAAGGCAGACAGAATCAACGACTATCCTCTGTGGAAAGTAAATAAAAGACTCATCTTTAGGGCAAGCAGATCAACTAATGCCAACATTCTTCACTCAACAACCATCTTGAGCAAATAGTCCGATAGATGTAAAATACTAAAATGAATGTGAGAAACATGGAAAACTCTCACTTTACTTGCATATTCATAAAAAGTTTCAAAACATTTTTATGTGTTTTCCTTGGAAACAAATGGAACAGAATAACACATTTAACTAAGTGAAAGACAGAGCCAATAAAACCGACCAAATGTCGCCTCAAGTGGTTGAATGTCAGATGGTCAACCAACAACACAAAAAAAAATCGACCTGAAAAAGTCTTAAAAGAGAACTTCAAGGTCGAAGAAAATAGAGCGAAAGTAGTGTTGAAATCAATGGAGTATGATTATTGCATTTGTTTTTTTTTGCGAAAAATTATTCCACACGGAATGCATAGATGCATACTGTGTCCGATCTCCACCGTCAATTACAATAAATTAAAAAAAAATCAAAATAAGGCCCACCATCACATATTTTTGCTGGTGATGAACTGTGGAGATTCCGTATGGAATAATCTTTTCTTTTTTACATTTAATGTCCCACATTCTTATCACATGTTCACTTCCAATAAGTAAAAAAATTTGAGGGCATTTGTATATATCCGAAAAATATCGACGGTAGCGGAGACCGGCCAACCACCTCATTTGGTCGACTATTCCAGCCGACCGACTAACCACATCGTTAGATGAACCGACCATCGAAAAGTTGTCGAGCATGCAAAAATGTGTAAGTTAGATGAAAAATTGCCAAGGACAGTGCATAACTGCTCAGTGAAAATAATAATCGGTAACTCTCGTGAATACTAATTATCAGTAACTCATAAAACACAATAATAATTGGTAACTCTCATCGATAACAATAACTTGTCCCAAATATAGTAATAATTGACAACGCCAGGAACAATAATAATTGGAGAGAAAATAAATTGTAATTTTGAAAAACATAATAACTTGTAACTCCAAAAATTAATGATGTAATTTTCTTGATACCTCTTTGATCTATAAATTAGATGATCTTTTTCATGTAAATGGGAGGAGACTATTTGGGTTTTCCAATCACTGTTTCACCCCCCCCCTTCTCTCTCTCTCGCTAGCTCGCTCGTGCTTTTCCTCTCCCTTGGTCCCACGCTATATGTCTTGGCATGGTCTACAGGACAAATTTTGATTCAACAATATCTAACATTTAAACTTTGTTTTCTATATTCATGCCACTCCAAATTTTCATATCACATTAACATTACTATCATTTTAACTTCTCCTAGAGTAGAAATATCTTTTTATGCCTAATTAAGGTGGTATTTATGTAAAAATAGAAGCATAAGTCTCAAATATATTAAAACTGTTCGTGTTCGGGATGTTTGCTTAGCGAACGAATTAAACCTAAGCTACTTAACGAGCCGAACACGAGAACAACGAGCTGTTTTGACGGCCCTATTTATAGATAATCCCCTATGAATACAAGAATTTAGGATGACTCTCAATTGGATTACCTCACTCAAATCTGATGAAGGATGGAGTTTGGCAGAGATAAAGCGATGCCAAAGCTTAGAATAGACATTCAAAGTAGAAGCCAGGAAGTTGATTTTTCGCTCATCGTGGATTTTCCACTCACCCGGTCTATCTGTAAGATGCTTAACGATTTCATTAGAAGACATGAGATTAAGGAAATAATTATTGGGCAAATCACAAAGATGAAATTCATCATTCCAACAGCATCATAACTTTTTTTCATGGCGCAAGATAAGTTTGCAAAATTCCAAAAATTCATCCCAAATTTGATTCGCGAGCATTTATTGGGGCAACTAAATCTAAATCCATCATAGTTTTGTCTCTCGAGCATGGTATTAGTCAACAAAAGTTAATTTTGATTTTGGCTCCTCAATTATAATTATGCTCCCAAGTTCTAAACTGTTGAGCTCTCACTCAATTGGAAATATGTCTTTGCCCTTCGAGAACGTAAGAAAAGTGTGGAGACTCGTAGGGTTGTAAAAGAGCTGACTTCAACAAACTCATATTTTGCTTGTGTTGGACTCGTTCAAAATTAATTTTGTTTGAAATTGACCCGTGTTTAAAATCGCTCATGAATAACTTGTTCGTGCTCGACTCGATTTACATATTCTTGTATGTGTTTGACTCAAAAATGACTCTTTTAAATTAATCAAAAAGTAGATACACTTGACCACACGAACTACGATGATTTAAATTTAGATATAAATATATATAATATATTTACAATATAAATAATATATATAATCTCTTTACTTCGACATAAAATGAAACAAATACGATTGAACAAATAATTGTTCGTGTATTATTCATTTATAATTTGAATTTAACAAAATTATTTATGTTTAACTCATTTATTTAATAAATAATTCAAACGAGAAGTACTTAAAAAAAAGTTATACATAAACCGTTCAAAAACAAATAATTTTTTTTTGCAGCATATCGACCTCGAACAAAAATATATGCTTAAAAAATGTAAAGAGATGTTAATTTACGAAGGAGTAAAGGGTAAAAACGTAATCACAGACAGAACCGGGCTATAAGATCGCAAACTCCCCACACAGGCATCTCAATCTGTGGTTTTCTGCGCTCCTTCTCCTCCTTCCTGCCGCCGGTCTTCTTCGAAATGGTGATAAACCTTGCCTTTGCTTCGAATTTAATGTTAGAATTGCAAATCCAGCTCCTTCTCATTACTTTTACAGGGAAAAGGTACGGGATCTTTCGGCAAGAGAAGGAACAAGACTCATACGTTATGCGTGCGGTGCGGCCGGAGGAGTTTTCACCTTCAAAAGAGCACCTGCTCTTCCTGCGGCTACCCAGCTGCTCGCATTCGCAAGTGTAAGAACTAATTTTAGCATATGTTGTGCTTCCCGATGTAAGTGTCATGTGCTTACGCTATTTTCTTGTAATTGGTCCATGTTTTGATTAAATATTTAATTTATAGATCTGGAATGCGTGACTGTAAATAGAGATGAGACTTGGTGAGATCGCCTTTGTTGTTAGGGTTTTTGCCTTTTTCAATGAATTAATCCTATGTTTAGGTGCCCATTGAAAGTTGAATCCGTGTTTTCTCGTCTTTTCTGTGTAAATTGGGTTCCTGATACCATTGGACTATGAAACTTGAGACAAGATTTGTATGATAGAAGGGACAGATCTTGGCACAATGAGGATTGTGTTTGCAAAGAATCGCGCTCTTGCGGAGAAATTTATTTGCATGCGTTTATTACTTCTTGGAAAGTTAGGGAAAATAATGGTAAGGTTCGATAGTTATTCATATAATGTAATTTTCTTTCTTCTATAATGTTTTTATTTTATTTTGCAACCTTTACTGATCTTAAAAAAACGCTGTTTGATACATTTTTTTTCTACTTGCTGTTCTACGCACTTGTGTGAGATGTAATTACTGGAACAAGAAGTTATGTATAAATGTAATTCGGATTGTCTCCATGCTCCTTTTGCCAGCTTGGTAACATGCTGCTGAATGATCTAAAATTATACTGTCAAACTCCTAATTCCTGGCATTTAAACATCAAATTGTTGAGTATGAAGTCATTTTGATGATTTATGTTTATTAGCTTGTTTGTTGAAACTCGAAGTTATTAGTAGATCCAGCTCCTTATAAAGTAAATAAGCATACATGTTCCATGATATTGCTATTTTGGAAAGTTTTTGAGGAGCATCATGCTTGTTGTGGAAGAGAAATGCATTTCATAAAGGAAGAAGAATTAAAGATTGTTTCAACTTATATATACTACATATATTTCCTTATGCATATGGGAGGATGATTATTGTTAGATGACTTATTGGTTCTTGGAAATATTTATTGCAAGTTGTGAAGAATATATTAATAGTGATCATTAACGGATTCTTTCGTAGTCATTCTACTTCATGTACATTTTGAAATTTTGTTTTTGCCTTCTAATTTTTTGGCATTTGGCGTATGAAATGTGTTAGAAGATTCAACTTATCCATTTTTGTTTTTTGACTTTGGGATGGTGCATGTCTTATTTTTGTAACTTTCATGTAAGTGGTGATCAATGATTTATTTTGAAGAAGGTTCTTGAAATTATTTATTGCAAGTTGTGATGAATATGTTAATAGCGATCATTAAGGGATTATCTTTTTATTCTACTTGGTCTATATTTTGAACTTATGTTTTTGCCTCCTAAATTTTAGGCATTTGGCATATGAAATGTTTTAGAAGATGCAACTTAATCATTTTTCTTTTTCGACTTTGGGATGGTGTATGCTTTAGTTTTGTAACTTTTATGCAAGTGATGGTCAATGATTTCTTTTGAACAAAATAGTTATTTGAAAGGTAACATTTTTATGGATTATTTTCATTGTTTGCATGTAAGTTTTTTAATCATTTGAGTTGTCCAACAAACGTGTTATTAATTTATTTTAAGCTTCACTCTTGTAATGCCCTTATGTTTTTATTAGTGTAGATTTTCGAGTAATGTTAGGGATTTGTTTTCTTATAATGAAATACCTTGTAGGTGAACTTATTTGTTTTGCACCTGATGGCTTGGTTTTAATCTCACTTTTTTTCTTTATTAGTGTAACATATAGAATAATGACTTTAAGCTGTTAGTTTTTGATACTTCTTATGGATAAAAGTCAACTAATCTACCCAATTTCACCATTGAATGAGGATATATTTCTTTTCCCTGCATATTTTCATGGATGCATCATCATTATTAACTTCATCCTGATTATTTACGTTTGACATTTTGGATCTTAAAATTGTATTCATTCCTATTTAGTGTTGTTTGAGGTGTTAGATACAAATCATTTTAAACAACTTCCATCCAAGCAATTTTTTTCTTTTTTGATTTCTAAACTTATTTTTAGTAACTTTAATAGTGCATTTTATTCCATTTTCTGCACATGCTTATATCATCTAAGCATTGTTTTAAAATATGAAATCAGATATTGAGACATTTTTTTCTTTGCGAGGTAAAGCGCAACCCTAAAAATAATAAAAAAAATCATAAAATTAAACATAATTCATAAGTATTACATTTGACAAATCACAGCTCTTGATTATTAAACTAAAAATTTAAATATGCTAATACTTCACTTAATAAACGCATGCATATAATATTCTCAAATCTTAAATATAAAGCATGTTTGAAATAAGATTTGTACATTATACTTAAAATTTAAATATACCAAAAGAATTTAGTTCTATAATAGTATCATCATTATTTTCATCATCTTCGGAAGAATCATCATATGTAATAACTCTTATCACTTTGAATTTTGGGTTATCATCATCTTCAAATTCTTCATCAATTTTCACATTTTTATTTTACCCTCTACATTATAACATTGAATTCAATATAATTTTAAATAAAATGATAAATTAGTGCATAACTATAAGTATATTTGGGACAACTTTCTGCATGCTTTGCATTTCAGACCACCACTACAGTTCTGTGTGGGGAGTTATTTTTTTATGTTTTCTGCAAATTTTTGTGATAGGAAGCTATTTTTTTTCAACCTGACCTATTAAAGTGTGGTGGTTTTATGAAAGTTGATGTTTGACTTTTTTGAAAAAATATATATATATTTTAATTCTCATTGCTTCTTTCTAAGAAGTTGTTTTCTCCATCATAATTTTACAACCATATTTTTAAAAAAATTGCAGCCACCCGAAACAAACTCCAAGCAGTCCATTATATTTTAATTGCATAATTATCTTTATATTTTTTTAATCTCCCCACTTTGCTTCTTTCTTTTAAATGATCGTGAAGTAGAAGCTACTTCAAATTCAATCTCTTTAATGCCTTTCAATGTTAATATTGACATCTTCATTAATATCATCCTTAAAAGCCATTTCATCTTCTTCAAACTCAAATATTTTTTCCTCTTAGGCGTCATCCATTCATCATCAAACATAATATCATCAACAGTCAAATGATCTATTCTATTATTATCATTTTTTTTGGTAGCTTCAAGTATCGATCTTTCAATTTTTTATCGAATATAACATAAAATAACTTTTTCATTCGGCTTTTGCCAATCGATTTATTCTCTTTGTATGCAATCGGTCGAATATGCTTCAATTACACTTATATGTGGATGTTGAACAAGTAAGAATAAAAATTTTGACAACAAATGTGTTGAGTTCATGCACCTCATCTTCAAATTGTGCCCACGTTCTAGCATAAGATTAAATAAAAGTAGCAATATATATTAAGATAATAACTTTATATATAAATGATATACTCATAGATTTAAAATTATAGATAAATGAAATTTACCTGGTGAGCTTGTCTTGTAGCATGTTTGAGCTGTTCTAAATTAAAACATTACATTCTTCAGATGAAAATATTCAAACTGATCATCAAATTTAAGATAGTCACATTAAGACTAAAAATTTTGACAGCAAATGTATTGAGTTCATGCACCTCATCTTCAAATTGTGCCCATGTTCTAGCATAAGATTAAATAAAAGTAGCAATATATTTAAAGATAATAACTTTATATATAAATGATATAATCATAGATTTAAAATTATAGATAAATGAAATTTACTTGGTGAGCTTGTCTTGTAGCATGTTTGAGCTGTTCTAAATTAAAACATTACATTCTTCAGATGAAAATATTCATACTGATCATCGAATTTAAGATAGTCAGATTAAGAAACAATTATATCCATGAATGCATATATATACCGGTTTTAATCTCATTATCCACATGAAAGTCTTTGTCATAATGAAATTAATGATTTGAATAATTTCCGACAACGTGTAAATGTTGATGTAGCTGTCAATCCTAATTTTTTTTTATGATTTCCCATATTTATTTCTAAGTTGTTTCTTTTCCTCATAATTTTTTTGTTATTTTTTCGTTTGTCTTGTTCATAGCTTCATAAATAAACCCATAGCAAGAGCCCTCTCACTATTAATCATTTGCAATACTTTCACTAAAGATTCTATAAATTAATCATCTCTCATAATAGTCTTCTTCAATTAATTCCTTTTGATTTTTTTACCCTAGAACTTTATCCCATTATTTAGAAGCAAACAAAGCCTTCAAAGGCTGCCACAACATTTTAAATCTTTGCGAAGTCAAATAAGCCATGACAAATTATTTAACTGTTGGTAGGATAAGTTTTTGTGTGTGTGTGTGTGAATTTCCTCATCAAACATAATATCCAAGAATTGTTGTAAATAAATTTACTTACTATTTTTGCATTTAAGCAAAGCAGATTTATGTTGCAATAATTGTCCTAAATTGTGAAGCATAAAATCCAGACTATTAAAAACACAAGGAGTCTAATAAATTTTTTTCCTTTTATCATTAACATTCTTCATGTAGCTTTATAGGCACTTGCATCAATTATATTCACTTGAACAACTATGTTCTCCCAATTCTTCAATAATCTTATCAAGCATTTTATAAAGCAATTGTACCTCTTTTACAAAGGCAAATACATCGACAAATTTCAAAATATCATCCCATAAGAGTTGTTACTAAGAAAATTTATAATGCTTCTTTGTCTGATGACAGACCAACCATCTGATATTATGATAACTTCCATCTTAACCCATGTCTTCTTTACTTCCAACTATTCTTGTCGACCTTCTCATCCAACATCCAAGTTCGCAGCTCATTCATGCTAGAGAGATGCAACCCTTGCCTATAAGTTCCAACAGAATGAAACATTTTGATTCATGAAGGGCTCTTAATCATATTAAATGATAATTTATTCTTAAAAAGATCGCTATATTTAAGCATAGTCTATTTTTATATTCTTTTGTAGAAGTTGGAGGAGGAGTTATTTGAGAGTTAATATTCTCATCTTCATCCACATTCACATCGAATCT